TCCTCCTCTAAAGCCTGCACCTTTTACCTCTGGACTGCCACAGTACTGTAATGGTTCTGCACTTTTATAAGGTACAGAGGGCTCATTATGTAAGTTCAGGTGAAAAAAATCATGAATTACATTTGTATTAATAAACATTTTAATTAACACTTACCAGCTGCCAATAGTGTGTTAGGTGTAAGTAGCAGGTGGATGCTGCATGAACTAATGAAACTAGAAAGCCATCACCTCCTTTCCACTTTATTCAAGAATTTAAACCTGGCATTGTGGCGCAAGCTGGTAAACCCAGTGACTTGGGAGGCTGAGGCCAGGAGAATCACAAGTTTGAGGCCAACCTCAGCAATTTAGCAAGGCCCTAAGCAACTTAGTGAGACCCTGTCTCTAAATAAGATATAAAAAGGACTGAAAGCTGTGCATGGTGGTGCATGCCTTAATCCCAGCAGCTCGGAAGGCTGAGGCAGGAGGATGATGAGTTCAAAGCCAGTCTCAGCAAAAGCAAGGTGCTTAGCAACTCAGTGAGACCACTTCCTCTAAATAATATACAAAATAGAGGGCTGGGGTTGTGGCTCAGTGGTAAAGCACTCGCCTAGCACATTGGAGACCCTGGGTTAGATCCTCAGAACCACATAAATGCACAAATAAAATAAAGCTATTGTGCCCAACTACAACTAAAAGATAAATATTAAAATAAATAAATAAATAAATAATATACAAAATAGAGCTGGAGAGGTGGCTCAGTGGTCGAGTGCCAAAAAAAAAATAAAAAATAAAAAAAATAAAAAAGGACTGGAGATGTGGCTTAATGGTTAAACATTTTTAGGTTCAATCCCTGGTACCAAAAAAACAAAAACAAATACAAAAAACCAGTTCACATGGTATCTTTTTTTTGTAAGCATTTATTTTTTAGTTGTAGATGGACATAATACCTTTATTCTATTTATTTATTTTTATGTGGTGCTGAGGATCGAACCCAGGGCCTACCCACATGCTAGGCAAGTGATCTACCACTGAGCCACAAGCTCAGCCCCAAACATGGCATCTCTTTTAAAAGTATTTCCTGAACTATGAAACTATTAACAGTATAAAATATGTATCTTGTGTGCCATTTAAATGTAAATATTAATAACTTAATATTTGATGCCTCTCATCTCAGATTTATTCATTTATTTGTTTGACAAATATTTGTAGATGTGGCAGACATTGTTCTAGGCCCTGGAGATACAGCAGTGAGAAAAAAATAGACAAAGCTTCTAATCTTAAGAAGTTATGTTTTGGGCTGGGGTTGTGGCTCAGTGGTAGAGCACTGTGAGGCACTTGGTTTGATTCTCAGCATCACATAAAATTAAAGAAATAAATAAAATAGATTGTGTCCATCTACAGCTAAAAATATTTTTTAAAAGTTCTGTTTTGATGGACACAGACAAAAAGGAAACCAACAAGTACACAAATAAAATTAAATGACAGTAAGTGCCATTGAATAAAAATATAAAGCAGAGTAAGTAGAATAGGGAGTTGGGGGTAGAGTTCAAGAACTGCTATTTTATGTAGGGTAGGTAGAGAAGTCCTCACTGATGAGTTGACATATGAGTGACAGGACTTACTGATGGATGTGAGATAAAGAGGTGACAAGTTGTTTTTTCACTAGGACAACTAGAATAGAATTGTTACATAACTGAGGTGGAAGAAGCAGTAGAGGATGCAATACAAGTTTGAAAAATTGATTTTGGACACGAAAAAATCATAGGTGATGCTCTAAACTTCATATGGCAACATGTTGGGACCATAGTTATAGAGAGTATCTCTGTCTGTGAGTCTGTCCTCATGCTTTTGCCTCTGCCTTTCCATGGAAACCACTCTTGTGAAGACCCCCTGACAGCTGCCCTGCCAAATCCCATCTCAGGACTCATATTTTACTTGATATTCATCAGTATCATTTTACACAGTTGTCCACTCTCTTCTCTTTGAAACGTGCTCTTCACTTGGTGTCTAATATTCTTTCTATGGTAAGGCAGTGTGGGAAGGAAGTTGCCCAGAGTGGGAACTATGGCAGGGGTTGCAGGACCCTGTGTGTGTGTGTGTGTGTTGCCTAAAACTTTGAACTAGAATCCAGGGCAATGGGACTAGAAGAGAGTGTGGCCATAATGTATTGTAGAGCTTCTGGCAACCATGGAGTCCAGGATTCTGAGAATATCTCTTCAGAAGTGTAGCTTCATTTTATTTTTATATTTGGTATCAGAGATTGAAGGCAGGGGTGCTCAACCACTGAGCCACATCCCTAGTCCTTTTTTAAATATTTTGTTTAGATACAGGGTCTTGCTGAGTTGCTTAGGGGTTCATTAAGTTGCTGAGGCTGGCTTTGAACTTGTGATCCTCTTGCCACAGCCCCCTGAGCTGCTGGGATTATAGGCATGCACAAGCACAGCTGGCTGCAGCTTCATTTTATACTGTAAACTTCTGAGTTAGATTTAATAAAGATTCCATGATTTTATTTTATTATTATTATTTTTTAAAATATTTTTTTGGTTGTTGATGAACTTTATTGTTTTTATTTTTATGTGGTGCTGAGGATCGAACCCAGTGCCTCACGCATCCTAGGCAAGCATGCTACCACTGAGCCACAACCCCAGCCCCTCCACGATTTTAAATAAAGTTTAAAATCAACTAATCTAGCTGGGCACAGTGACACACACCTGTAATCCCAGCAACTCAGGAGGCTGAGGCAGGAGGATTGTTAAGTTTGATGCCAGCCTCAGGAACTTAGCAAAACCTTAAGCATTAGCGAGACCCTGTCTCAAATAAAAAAGGGGTTGGGGATGTGGCTTGTGGTAAAGCACCTCCAGGTTCAATCCCAAGTATACCCCCCACCCCACAAATCCACTAATTTAGTCCAATGGCTGTGTATTAGAATGTATCTTTGAGAAGGAGGCGGAGGGAGGAGGAGAAAAGGAAAAGAAAATAGCACACCTTGGGGAAATAACTGATTCCAGGTTTGGTTTAGGGGAAGAAAGGGAACATGTCAAAAGAACATAGGATTAGCTGTAAGAGGCTCCTAATGATCAAATTTGGGGAAATCTGAGCATCAAAAAGAATAACATTTTGGATGATTATAAAACAATGAGTAAAAATCTACTAAGATGATATTAAAAGAAAGTTAAAGGGGAAGAATATTTTTGTCACCATTGAAATCAACTGTTCATACTCTAATTATTGATAAAGACAAAAAATAACTTACTTTGCCTTTTTAGGAGGATCATTCAGCCTCAGGTAATGGTGGAAAGTTTTTCTCTACAGAAACAAGCCAACTAATAAAGAAGAAGGAATGATAGAAATTAAAAAGTCGCCATTGTGCACCCCCAAATGAAATTACAGAGTGAAGAAAGGATCATAAATGAATGCTTAAAGCCATGAGATTAAAATTTGTTGTGGAAGAGAATATTCTTATATACCAAGGTATTACTCCAGAGAAAACTGCAAAGAGAGAAAGAATTGTATTGGATAGCATCTCCTATGAAGTCCCCTTATTCTAAGCTGAATTTTCTTTTAAATAATTTCATTGCTTTCAGTCAAGATAATCCATGAAATAAAATCTTATTTTATAGGTCTGTAAAACTTAATTAATAAATTAAAACAGATTAGAATAAAGCCCCAAGTCCTGATTATTAGTTGGGAAATGAAGTTACTGATGAGGTCCCTGATGTTGGAGGAACCCAGTTCCTTGCAGAGACACGAAGAATTAATGATGACAAAGTGGTAGGTCTCCATGACTAGCAGGAAAGGCACCGGTGTTTGTAGTCAGGTCTAAGATCTGGGTTTAAATTCTGACTCTACTATTTACTAGTTTTGTGGTATTAGGCAAGTTATGAGAGTGCACCCGATCACAGTTATTCAGCCCTATTGCCACGCACTGTGCTCGGTGTTTGGATACGGCAGTCAAGGATGCACAGGGGCCTGCTCTCCTGGAGACCCGACAAGTAATTCAGGAATAGAAGGTACTCAGGTGCGGTTCCTGACTCCAAAGGGACTGAGAATAGGTCTCAACAAGATGGATGGAGATAGAGTTGAGTAGGAGGAGGCTTTCTAAAAGGGGAAAACATTTTAGTGAAATACGTGGGGGCTGTTGGTCTGCTGATAGTCCACGTAGCTACTGAGGCTCTAAAGCAGGTGGTTCCCATTATTTAATGAAACAAGTAAGGAAAGCGCCTAATTCTGACTGGGCGCAAACTCTGAATGCTAATGAGGGCCATTTCCAGACAGTGGTTCGAACTTCTACTACAACACGTAAAGAACAATCAGCCTGGGCTGGGGTTGTGGCTCAGCGGCAGAGTGCTTGCCTTGCATGTGTTGAGGCACTGGGTTTGATCCTCAGCACCGCACAGAAATAAATAAATTAGCTTAGTTTCCATCCGAAATTAAAAAAACCCAGCTTTTTTCCCACATCTTGGAGCCTGTGGAGGCCTGCTGGGAAAAGGACTTCTAAAAGGCAGATATGTCTGGAAAGTTGTGGTGCTTTTGCTGGCTATAAGCGGGGTCTCCGGAACCAAAGGGAACACACAGCTCTTCTAAAAATTAAAGGTGTTTATGCCAGAGATAAAACCGAGTTCTATTTGGACAAAAGATGTGCTTATGTGTTCAAAGCAAAAACAAAACACCAAAAAACAAAAAAACACAGTGACTCCTGGTGACAAACCAAACAAAACCAGAATAATCTGGGGAAAAGTAACTCGTGCCCATGGAAATAGTGGCATGGTTCGGGCCAAATTCCGAAGCAACTGAAATGCTGTGTGATGCTGTACCCCTCAAGAATGTAAACTAATGGAAAATAAATAAAGATGGATTTGTGCTCTTGTATTTAAAAAAAAAAGAAGAAGAAGAAGAAGAAAGAAAAAGAACAGTTAAAAACAAACAAACAAACAAACAAAAAAACAAAAAACAATCAGCTAAACAATGTGCGGGTTCCAGGTGGGGGCGTAGCTTCAGGCAGCTCCTGGAAGTCCCCTTCCGGAATCGGCCCATGCCCCGGAAGCAATTGTTGGTTGGGCGCTTTGCGCGTCACGGAGACCCCAGGGGTGCGGTCGCCATGTTCCTGTCGGTGGTCTCCTGTAAGTGCGCCTGGAGGTGGCGGCGGGGGCCTACGGCGAGGGCGAGGGGGCCGTGAAAGGGCCCCGGGAGGATGAGGGGTGGGGAAAACGAACCGGCCGGGATGTTGCTGGTTCGCGGCGGCCTCACTGCGCAGCTGAGTAAACTGCTGGGGTCTGCGGGACTAGTCTGGATTCACTTAGCGTTTGCGGGACTTTAGAGTCTAGTCAGGAGGCGTGGGGCGCTTTCCCTCAGGTCTCTGTAGGGATGTGTCAGAAGAATCACAGGACGTCCCGGTTGGGAAGGACCTCAGAATTTCTAGCTCACATATTTCGTGCCCTAAAGGTGAGGAAATCAATCCCGTGAGGGGCAGTAGATGGCCCGAAACAACACACCTGGGCAGTGGAAGCAGGCTCCCGAGTCAGTGCTCCCCTGCACCTGGCTGGCTTCTTGTTTAGACTTAGTTTACCAACCCACCTAAAATGACAGTTGTTGCAGTTGCACAGGTTGACTTGTCAAACAAGACGCTTGTTCCATGCAAATAATTTAAAACTTTAAAAGGGGGGAAACAATGAAGTAGATGCGACCTTGGAAAGATTTAAAACGTTTCCAGTCCATCTGAAATGATGGTACAAAGCATTATATTCAGAATAGCGTTGATCTGATTGGCTCTTTTACTCTTTCAATAAAATGCTGTCGGGTTCTCAATATCTAGGGTGAAAACGATGATATACTTCATGAATTAAATGTTTTTGGTTATTACTGACATTTGCATTAACTTTGCATAAGATAATAAATTTGTGTTTTTATTTTCTCTTCCAACCTTTTCTCTACACATACACAAAAAGTTGCCAAGAGCAAGTCAAAGTAAGTAAAAGTTTTTAAAATTGAGCTTTGCTTGTTTACGTTAGTTTTTTTTTCAGTTCAGTTGCTGCTAATGTATCCATATATTAAACATTTAATCTTGATTTTTCTAAAAGTTGTTTTAAGGGTTATTTGTTAGATTTTTGTTCTTGTGAGCTCTTTTAAAAAGTGCAGATGTTTCTGTATTTATGATGTTGTTACCTCTGGACAAACTTGTTGTTAGTGGAAAATATTATAGCCAAAAATGGATTTAATACACCTCACCTACAGAACACTTGTGCTGCCTGTGTGCTGTATCTTGCTGCTTATTACTCTTAAGAAATGATCAAGATTTGAAGTTTGGCTTCTACTGAATGCTCTTCTTTCATATCATGGTATAGTTGAAAAACAATAAGTTGAGAACCGTCTTTATTTCCCTCCTGTCCAATGAAGCAGCTTCTGTGAGCATTCCTTTTTGCTTAAAGCAGCTTTCATGTCTTTTCTAGGCCCAGGGTTTATGAGCTTATTTTCTTGTTTCTAAGTAAACCATTGGTGTGCTGTTTGGACTATCACCATGTTTTCTGTTTCCTCAAACTGGAGACCAGGGGCCATTTGTCTGAATCTAGCAGAATAAGTTGTAATCTGGTTAAATCACAGGGCCTGTTTTATGAGTTTTGTAATCTTTAGCATTCATGGTATAAGCACTTTAAAAATAGTAAAGAGTAAAGATTCCATGATACCACAGAGACTAGAAATAACAGACTGGTATTTTAATTTTAAGATAAATTTTGTAAACAATAACTGAAGGTTTTCTTTTAAAAATAAAAATTCTAAAGGCTGTTTTAAAACAGCCTTTTAAAACAGTAAGATGTTAGCTGAGCATGGTAGTGCATGCCTGAAATCTCAGCAATTTAGGAGGCTGAGGCAGTTAGTTAGGATTGAAAGTTCACAGCCAGGCTTTGCAATTTAGCAAGGTCCTAAGCAACTTAGCAAGAACCTGCCTCAAAATAAATAAATAAATAAAAGTAGCTGGGGATGTCTCTCAGTGGTTAAGTGCTCCTGGGTTCAATCTCTGATTTAAAACACAAAGCAACTCTTAAAATTAGTTTTTTAAAAAAATTAAAGTTAATGAAAAACATGTATCTAAGTGTTTTTCCCCCCAGTACTTTTTATTTTTTTGATTAAAAAAATTTTTTTTTGTAGATGTAGTGGACAGAATGACTTTATTTTATTTGTTTTATTTTTATGTGGTGCTGAGGATTGAACTCAGTGCCTCATGCATGCTAGGAAAGCGCTCTACTGTTGAGCTACAGCCCCAGCCCCCTTTTATTGATTCACAAAGTTTTTCCTACAGTGCTTCTTATTGATTCACAGAGTTTTTCCTACAATTCGTTTATGTCAGAATTTCCCACTGCTACGTTCTGTAAGAGTCCCATGCCTTTGGTTTTTGTTGAGGTATTCCCTGCCTCTTGCGTTCTTTATATCTTGTGACATTTGCCATATATGTATTGCCTTTAGACCCTATACACCAACTCAATTTTCATAGCATACCTTTATTTCCTGGAGGACATAGACAGATACAGCTTTATATTTTCCATAGTGCTTTTCTCAGAGTAAGCACTTGATTGAGATTTATTGTCCATCTTAACTATAATCAACAGATGTATGCTTCTTTGGAAGTACTGTGTTGAACATTGAAAGCAATGCAGTGATGTGGAACGTAGTCTAAAGTGTTTCAAATTTATTTTGAAATTATATGAGAAATGACATGGTCTACATAGGGAGACAAGACACATGAAAAAGTTAGTATAGGAGAGTTAAAAGGTCTTTATTGCATGGACTTCATCCTTTGGATGACTGTAACTTAAAGTATGAAGGGACAAAAGGTTTGCTATGTAAGTGATATAAAACTTTCTGTTTATTTTGTTCCTTCCTCATTGTGCTCTTATCACTCATACTCTAGAAGAGAGGGCTTTTATGAGACAACCATTTTTACAATTGCCTCATTTGGTAACTGTGATCATCAGTACTTTTCTATTAATACCCCCTCCTCATGTGTTCCTCATGAGAGGTGGATGTCTGAGGTTAGTTCCCCAATGTGGCTTGATTGTTCTTACTATTTTCATAAGTCATTACCAAATCACTGTGTGTTAGATCAAACCCCCCAATTCAAACCATTGAAACTGCTCTCTGGGAAACATAGGCTGTGTTAGAACCAAACTTTCTCAGGGTCAACTAATGTCCACAACTGATATAACTCCTCAAGCTTCTCAAAATGTGCCATCCACTTATGACTGAGTTTAGTCCATTTCCTGAGCTTGTAACAGCTTACTTTTTAATCTTAGAACCCTTCTGGTGAAAATGGTGAGCCAAGCTGGGACAGGTTTCTCCTTCAACGCCAAGAGAAGCCGACTCCGGGAGAAACTGACTCTTTTGCATTATGATCCACTTGGTAAGATTCAGAGAATTACTGCACCGTAGATTCAGATGCTTTTAAAGTCTGTTGCCTTGGAATATACCAGGACACAAAGCCAGATTAAGCCCTTGTGCTCTTGACACTAGATTCAAGTTTAAATAGAATATGTCAGGGAAAATCTCCAGGAGGAGATAATTAACTAAAGACATGAAGGTAAGAAACCATCCATGTAAAGAGAATAGGCAGTATCCTGCTAGAAACAAAGAGAGTGTCTTGAGAAGGGGAAGGTATGGTCTGACAGTGGCAAGTTATAGGGTCTAGATGTAAGTTAAGGGAATGTAGTGTCTTTTTTTTTTGATTTTGAGAATAGGAAATGTTATTTTCCATTTTGTGCCATCCATTAAAAGACCATCATGCAATTTTAAATGGTGTGTATTTGTCTAAAACAGACTTGTATTCCCAAAGCCAGATAATCTGCTCAAACCTGATTGCTGTTGGTGGAAGCCCATCCTGTTTCTGTATTTGATGTGAAGGTTTATGCCAAAGCAAAAGCCAAAACCTGGCAAGCAAAATTTTTTTTTTTGTTTGTTTGTTTTGGTATTGGTTATTGAACCCATGGGCACTCAACTGCTGAGCCACATCACTAGCCCTTTTCTTAATTTTTAAATTTATTTAGAGACAGGATTCTCATAGATTGCTTAGGGCCTTGATAAGTTCCTGAGGCTGACCTTGATCTTGTGATCCTGCCTCAACCTCCCAAATTGCTGGAGTTACAGGTATGTGCCACTACATCTAACCATAATTGCTTCTTAATAATATTGACAAAGACTATGTTAATGTCAGGAAGTGCTTTTAAAAAGTTCTGAGAAGTCCATTTGTCAGCTTAAAATTGCTTGAGTTCCATTTGTTAGTAGAAATACAATTTCCTGCTCATATTGCTGATCATTCATTAACATAATAAAAAAGGAATTCTAGTTTTATACCTGAGAATTAGGAACTTGCACACTACTAATAAATATTGATTGAAAAACCTTTTGCAATAATAGGATGAAAAGGTATTGGAGTTTTCATCCTTAGTGTGGAATAGGTATCGGGAACTTATTTGTCACATTGATTTTAAGTTTTAAGATTGGGAAAGAGGGCTGGGATGTAGCTCAGTGGCAAAGCATCTCCCTTGCATTCGCAAAGCCCTGGGTTCGACCCCAGTTCCAAAAAAGACAAAAAAAAGAACCCCACCAAAAAAAAAAGATTATAGCCATAACTAGTTTTGATCATAAGTTCAAAAAATGGGAGAAAAGACTCGTATATAAATTTTAGATACAATTAGGACTTTCTAATAAGGAATGGTTTGAGCCTTGATAGCACAATTTTTGTCTTTTCTGAAGAAAAGTATGTTCTGGGATAGTAGACTACCTGCCTTTCTGTCCACTTATTGGATCCTTTGCAGACTTTTGTGATGAAGATGTTTGCCTTGGAGCCTGTCCCATTGCCCAGGGTACCTAATAGCTTGGCAATTTTCCTAGCATATTTTACTGACATGAGTTAAGTTAGTTTGAGGATAATGTTTTGTTAGTTTTATGAAGGAAATCAGGTAAGGAAATAAATATTCCCAGTTATTTGAGCATTTTCTAGTAAACTCTTTGGCAAGAACCAGCTGTATCTGCTCCTGTCCTTTCAGACTCAACTTTCCTAATGTAAAACTAGATGCTAATATCCAGGGAGGAAGGATTAAAGCTGAGGCCTAAAGCTTATTAAACTTTGTTTATCATAAAGAGAATGAAAACTTGTCAGTTTTAATTCCTTGGTTGACTAAACAAGACGATATAGACTTTAATTGAAACAGAATAGATTTAGGTTAGCTGTAGGGGAAGAACTTGACAGATTCATTCTTCTATGAATTAAGCAACAAATATTTTGACAGAAAATTTATGTTTACGGTTGTGGATAGCATTGTGTCATTTCAGCTCAGTTAATACATATTGAGTCCTTCTGTGTATCTGGAAACAACTCTATAAGTGAGTTGGAGTTCTCTCTCAGGGAAAGAAATAGGATAGAGTATTTTGGGAAATTTGTCCAGGGACTCAGAGCTACAAATGATGGAGTCAAAGTTTGAATCCAATGATTCTAACCCCAATTCCCTGTTCTTTCTGTTATAGGGAGCCAGTTTGATCTTTCTAAACGTTTAATTTTTTAAAAAATCAGAACTTTCCCCTGTGTTCAGCCTAGTATCTAAGATCATGAAGCCTCACTGTGATTCCTGCCACCTATCACTTTTCCTCCTTTAGTCATCCAAGTGCTGCTCCAAATGCTGCTCCTTTAAGGGCTAAGTTTTACTCTGTTGGGCCTTCTGTCACTATTACTTTCACCTTAATCTTTAGGTTCTTAAAGGGTTTATTGGAAATTCATACGGGTACCTCATGAGTACTAAATCAGGGATTCTTTTTTTGTGTGTGTGTATGTTGGGAATTGAACCCAGGGACTCTTAATCATTGAGCTACGTCCCCAGCCCTTTTTATTTTATATTTTGAGACAGGGTCTCACCAAGTTGCTTAGGGCCTCTCTAAATTGCTGAGGCTAGCTTCAAATTTATAATCCTCCTGCTTCAGCCTCCTGAGCCACTGGAATTACAGGCGGGCACCACTGTGCCTGTCTTTTTATTTATATATTTTTCCTAAGACAGGGATTCACTGTATTGCCCAGGCTGTCTTTGAAAATGCAATCCTCTGGCCTTAACTTCCTGGAGGGTTGGGATTATAGACAAGTGCATCTCATACTTTTGTAAACTTTGCATTGTCTAGCACAGTTCCTTGGAATAAAATGTTTGTTCTTTTGAATTAAAGGAATTACTACAGTGAATGAAAGAATTTTCCTGAATAAAACCTTGTTGTATTAATCTTATTTGTTCCTTGCCTTGGTCATTTAAATAATCTCCTGATTGCTTCTCAGTGAGATAAGTCCCCTGCCTCCCTTTGTTTTCTTTTTTGGTGGTGCTAGGGATTGAATCCAGGACTTTGCAGATGCTAAAGTACTCTTATCACTGAGCTACAATGCCAACCCTCCTTTTAGCTCAACTTTTGCCTCTGTGAAGAAAAACACACAGAAAATATTTCTAAACAGCATTATTTTGGAAAGTGTGTTGTGTCTTTACTAATATCTTGTAGTGCTTTGTAGGTCCTCCTTAGAGGAGTGGAGTCTTAGGAGGAGTAGTTCTACTTATATTTTGGATGATATGAAGTATGCAAAAAATATCCCATATATACAATGTCTGTATTATGTAGTATTCTTACTCATTTCTTAGGTGAAGTTCTGTTGACTGGTTAATGGTTTTTAAATTCAGCTGCCTTTTAGAATTGTCTAAGGAGTTTTTAAAAATGTTGTTTTCTAGTCCAATTCTAGCTCTACTGAACCAGAATTAGTGTAGGGGTGGAGGTGAGAAACAAGAATGTATTTTAAACAAGCTACTTAGCTATTTTTTTTTATAGTTATAGGTGGACAGTATGTCTTTGTTTAATTTTTTATGCAGTGCTAAGGATTGAACTCAGTGCCTCATATGTGCTAATAATAAGCAAGTGCTCTGCCACTGAGCTACAGCCCCAGCCCTATTTGGCTAATTCTTAGTCACACTTTGGGAATCTCATATACAGAGATTCTGTCCATTGTGATAAAGAAGAAGAAAATACAAAGCTAAAATTATTTTGTATGGTAGAGACTATTCGGGAGTTACTAGGTCACATTCCTTGAGTTCCTGAATCTTCCTTGGGTGCATTTCCTTTTTTGGCAAAGAGGAATCAAGTGGGGTGAGTGTAGGGGGAAGTGGTTAGAAGTTAATGGTGGGTTCTAGGGCATTAGGGGACTCTGGAACCCTTATTTTCCTAGCATGTAGCGTGTGCGCACGCGCCAGGTTTCTGTTCTCGCAACTAAAAGGCTCAGGGGTCACTCCAGTTAAACTGGGCTAATCGGGCTGCACAAAATAACCATACAAGAGACACAAATACCTTTTTCTTTGGGGTCCTGTGACGGCTCCTCTGACCTTAAGGGTCTGCAGAAAGAGAGAGCGCTCGCGCTGACCCCTTTTATTGAGGAGAAGCTATTCAAATGAGGCAAGGGGTCAGGTTTCAGGGGGCTGAGTCTATCTTCATGATGTTCACTGTCAGCAGGTTGACTGACACCTGGGTAGGCCATACCCAAGGGCACAGTAAGAGAAGGGGACACACACAAGGCACTTCCATGGAAGATTCTATCCTAAACAGGACAAGGGGTAATATTACAAAGGAACAGGTGAGCGTAGCTTCACCCATGGGGCTGTAGCAAGCACACCCATGCACGATGACAATGACCCTTGTACCCAAGAAGGGTGGGGAAAGCTCGGCCACATTTCTGCGACTGAGCCCCTCAGCACCCAGCCGGGGAGTGTAACTCAGTCACTTGTAAGGTTGGTCTCCCACGTGTGTGTGTGTGTGTGTGTGTGTATGTGTGTCACTGGGTATGAAATCTAGGGCCTTGTGTCTGTTATGCAAGTGCTCTACAACTGAGCTACATCCGCAGGTAGCTACCTGTCTTTTATCCAAGAAGATAGGGATCCCCCACCCCAGGGAACTATATTCTTGTCATATTTACAATGTTGAGATTTTGGTTATAATACTTCATTACTAAAGTAAGATGTTCCTATTTGGGTTTATTAGAACAGCTCTGGAAAGTAGAAGTACCGAGGTATTTACTCTTTCCATTAGGCTGCCTTTTCTTCCTTGTCCTGCTCAGTTCTTGCTGCTCTGGTTCTGAGTCCAGCTCCCAGCCTGCTCTTGCTTACTTGCTCCTGGAGTGGACCTCAGCTGGTGAAGACATTGAGTGTTTCCCATGTTTGTCACTTTCTTTTTTAATGTGAATATTTCACACTGATTAAAGTATGACCTTGTGGAATACTAAGGAAGCTACTAATTTGCTGGCGAGTAGTCTTTCCCTCCAGTCATTTCTTGACTCTGGAATTGAGGAACTGAGTTCGCAGATCACCTTCAAACTCATGACAGAGGAATAGTAAAATGTGAGAGAGGAGAGGTCTTAATGGCCTAATAACATATTTTTATTAAAAATGATGATGATGCTTTTTAGTTTTCCTCTACAACCCTTTTTTCTCCCCCCACAGTGAAAAAAAAAGTCCTCTTCACGGAACAGAAAAAAATACGCTCTCTCTGAACAATGGATTGAAAATGAACTTGATTTATAAATGAGAAGACTGAGGGCGGGGATACTGATTCAGAAATCCCACAGCTTGTAATAAAAGAAGAGGAAATGGCGTGGCATCACTGCCTCCTGTGATTTCAAGGCCATTGTGAAGGGAAACAATGCATTGAAAGAAAGTTCTTCATATTAGGACAGACATCGTTGCTTCACATTTATTTATCTTTCTGGATATTTTTATAGCCCTTAATAAAAAATATTAAAATAGCCTGTGCCATTGTGTCTTAGTGATGTTTTCCCCTCCCATTTGAAAATTTAAAAAGCAACCACATTCTTAAGAAAGAAACCATTGTTTCATTTAATAGAAGATATTTTTCCATGGTGAGACTTATGCAAGAACTTCTAGATTGTTTCTTGTATTTTATAGAATAGACAGAGCAGCACTCCAGGTGATCTTGAAGACCCCCCCCTCCCCGTATAATAATGGAATTGGGTGACAAGGATGAGCAGGAAGGACAACAAAGGAAACTAAGATAACTTCTGTTTGTGATTTGTGCTTATATAATTAGGAAAAATGCCATTGGTCCGTATTCTCAAGTCCAGATCACCAAAGCAGTACCTAGGATTTTTAGACAGTTTCAGACTCCTTTATCCCCTAGATCTCTTTTCTTGCTTTCCTTTTTTTTTTTTTTTGGTGATACTGGGGATTGAACCCAGGGCACAGTGTGTACTAGGCAATTGCTCTACCTCTTGAGCTATGTTCCCCAACCCTAACCTCCTCCTTTGTTTTTGGACTGGGGATTGTACTCGCGGACACTTAACCACTAAACTATATTCCCGGTCCTATTTATTTTGAAACAAGGTCTTGCTAAATTGCGAAGACTGGCCTCCTGTCTCAGCCTCTTGAGTCACTGGGAAAATAGGTACGCACCACCATACCTGGCCATTCCAGATCTTAAAATTTTATTTTGGGACAGGGACTCACCAGGTTGCCCCGACTGGCCTCAAACTTGGTAATCCTCTTGGCCCAGATCCATATATTTTCTTGCATAGGCTACTGTTACCCTCATATTTTCAAAACACTCCAGTTTTCTCCTTTATTTCTCAAAATTCTGGCTGAAAGGATTATTATTACTTTTTTTTTTTGTCCCCTCCTTTTCTTTGAACTTTGCTGGTTCATATCCTGTCCTATCTTAAGCACTTGTATGGGAGACGGATGAGTGCCTGCCCTGTCCACAGCATTGAGAAGCAGTGCTGTTCCAAAGTAGCAGGTGTTCCCTCCCTATGGCCCAATCTGTCTCTAGAGGAAAAGCAGGCACAGCTCTCTGGAAATGGAATTGGATGTGAACAGTTGTTGAGTCTTAAGGGCTTGTGGCATTATAGTCAATCAGCTATTTTATGGCATCTTTTGTTAAAGCTGTGGTTCAAAGCAGTAACAGGTGAGATCTCAGTTATATTTAGATTGAAACTGTACACAATAGAGTCTTGGGTTACAAGAGAAATCTTACATGATCCTAACTAAGCCATGTGAAGGATTTGTGTCATGCATGAATTGCTTTAAAAAACAAAAAGCCTTAACATCTGACAAATGTGTATTCAGCCCTTAAGCTGAACGAGGCCCACAGGGTGTTTACATTAAAAAAAAATAAGTTGCTGATATATAAACAATATTTCAATAAATATGGAAACTTTTGGTTTATGTAGAAAACCGGAAGTTTGATAATACTTGAGCTAAAGAATGAGTATCGGCCACCTCTTTTAAGTACTTGGGAGATTGAATCCTTATGCCTTTTCTCCTCATTGAACATTCTGTTCTCTGGCTCTAGAGGCTGGTATCCACCACCCCTGCTGTATGGTGCCACATAAAATTATCAGTCTACAGGCAATAGAATATGCTGGTCCTGAGTAGCGATAAGTTTTACCCAGATCCTGATTGTGGAATCTAATTATAGTTGGTTCTTGTGAATGTATGAAAAGCAAAGGATCATCCTTATAAATAAGTAAATGAAAACTTGAATGTGTTTCCTAAATGAACATAATATTTACAAAGAAGAGAGAGGACATTTTCTAGTAAGTGTTAGCTAGGAATGGTCACCTCAGGTACATTTTATTTCCAGGTATCTTTACTTGAGGGATAACAGTAATCAGAACAGAGTAGGAGGAAGGTCTTTTTTGTATGGATAAGATGACTGTGTTCCTGCAGCTTGGACACTGACTGCTGCGATGAAATTGGATCTCCTGAGCATTTCTTCCAAGGACAAATTTGGGTAATAAGCCATGTAGAAGGCCAGAGCTCCCACAAAGCTGTCACCAGCACCCTGTAATGAAAAACACAGTTGTGAAGATAAGCATGTAGTCAACCTGTTGCCCACACTGTATAGTTTAAAAACGTAATTTTAGAATAGTTTTAGATTTATAGAAAAGGGACAAGGACAGTGGCGTTTCCATATATCCCGCACACAGACCTGTTAGTATCTTAATGTGGTACATTTATCACAATGATGAAATGGTACTGATATATTAACTGAACTCTATTAGGATTGTGTTTTTGCTTCATATCCTTATTCTGTTGCAGGATCCCATTTAGTTGTCATGTTAGACTCCTATGGGCTGACAGTTTCTTAGGTGGTTTGATGACTTGGATAGTTTTGAGGACTGATTAGGTTTTGTAGAATTTGTCTCATTGGGATTTGTGTATTTTTTCCTCATGGTCAGGCTGTGGCTATAGTTTTGGAAGGAAGACCACAAGAGTAAAGTGTCATTCTCATCGTATCAAGGGTAGATACTGTCAATATGGCTTACCACTGATGATGCTAACTTTCATCACTGGGCCAAGGTTTTGCCACTGTAGTCACTTTGCTCTCTCTCATTATACTTTTTTTTCTCTCCCTTTCTTCCTTCCCTTCTTCCTTTGTTTCTTTTTGTCTGAACTGAGAATCAAATCCAGCTTTGGCTAAGTTGCTGAGGCTGGCCTCGAACTTGCAATCCTTCTGCCTCAGCCTCTCCAGTTGCTGGGATTACAGTCATGTGCCACCACACCCGGCTTAAAACAATTTAGATGTTACATGATATTACTTGAAAAATTATTCTGGTATTCAACAGATTCAGGGGGCACTTTCCAGTTTTCCCATTTGCTAGTTCTTTAGACCCAAGAGTTTTCATGACAAATCCCGAGGCTGTTCTTCAGCCTTTACAAAGAGCCTTGATTGGCGTGAGATTGTTTTAGTTGCAGCTGAAGTATTCAATGAGCTATGTGCCCAGCACAGTGATGGGTACTAGAAAAGAAGCAAAATCCACTGTGGATCAAACACTAAACAGTGGCAGAGCTTATAAATGCAGTTGGATTTTAAGAAAGGATTTGAATAAAGCCTCCCTGAAGGGAGTCCTTATAGAATGAACCAGATTTCTAGAGAGAAGGCAGGCCTTGAAGAACAAAGACCCCAGAGGCGGAAGGAACAGAGTGAGCTCAGGGAGTGGCTTTAAGGAGAACCACATTTCCCTTTGTTTACATAAAGCAGTCAATATTACACTTGCCAAGGAGTCATAGCAAAGCTTACATAAGTGTTTCCTGCGTGCCTCAGTGCTGCACAGTGTTCACCACTCTTGTCTGAAGGATGCAATGAAAAAAGATATGATTCCTAACTGACCTCCATTTCAGCATAGCAGTAGACATGAGAAAGGTCTGAAACCAGAGGAACTCTGAGCTGCATGGAGGATATATTATGAAATACCATTAGAAAGTCTTTGACCTACAAGAGATGGACAACACTACAAGATATGAATAGGAGTGGCAAACTCTTAAGATTCTAAGACTTTATTTCTCCTCCTTAAATTATACACAACTAAATTCCAGGTAGTCAAAAGGTTAGATATAAAAAATAAAACAGTAAAAATAATAAGATGAAAGTTTAGGTGAGTATTTGTATAACTCTAGGAAGCAAGGCCACAAGTAAACTAGTAAACCCCAAAATTCATAACAAAAAAAGGGAAGTATTTTAAATTAAAAATTATATGTCCTAAGACACTAAATAAAGTCAGAGGTACAAAAGCACAAATTTGATGAAAATTCTTCCAATACACATGACATCTCTAATGGTCAAAGAACACCTTTCAACTGCTTGCAAAAAGATACAGACATGCAGATTCAGAAAAGGAAATGTAAACAGTAAACAATAAACACATGAAAATGTGCTCAATGATTAGGAAATGTGTACACCCTTTAATTTGGCAATCCTGCTTTGGGGACTCTCCAGCAGAAGTAAAAACTCCTGTATTTTGGGCATAATTAGGGGTATATGTACAAATATGCTTATTGCTGCACTGTTTTCCAAGGAAATCACTGGAAATAGTCAATGAAACAGGAGAATGGATGAACAGACTAGTAGATTTTTAATTTGGAAAAGTATGCAATTATTAATAAGAAAATGTCAGCAATTTGGAGAAATGTCCTTTAGTTAAGCCAAAAAAGATATTTGAGCATAAAAGATATTTTCCCATGGAGGGAAAAAAAAGAAGGAAAAAAGTAAAAAAAAAAAAAAAAAAAAAGTCTTATGAGTATGTATGTATTTAAGAATATAGAGAATGAGGACAAATATGTATCAAATTATTGTATTTTTTTCTTATTTGCAAGGTATGGGGGCAGTATTTTTCCCCTTTATATTGTTTGTTATAAGCTTGTACATTTTTCAAAAAATTTTAATAAAAATGTTTAATGACTAGGTAAGCCATGCCTCTGTGCCTCCCTCACCTTGACCTTTCAGCCTGATCAGAGAAGAGCACAGGGCCGAGGGGAAACATTCTAGCATCATGGACAGGAATTAGATTTAAATATTTAAAACTAATTGTTAGATAATGGGATATTTATTTGGCTACAGAAAGTTTAAAAATGTATAATACCACATGTTCTCACTCATTTGTGGATATGAGTAAGTCAATCTTGTAGAAGAAAGGAATGGAATAAGTGGTCACTAGGGACTGGAAGGGCAGTGGGGAGGAGAGATGGATAGAAGTTCAGTAGGGGTTCAAACAACAGAATGGAGGAATTACTTCAGGTTCTTCTTTGGCATAGTGGGGTAACTAATCATTAAAACAATATATATTTCAAAATGACTAGAAGAGTATCACATTCCCCAGCCATAACAATGATGCATAGTGGAAGACAAGGCAAGCTTATTACCCTGATTTGACTGTTACACATTAGGTACATGTATTGAATCACTATAAAATATCCCATAAAGATGTGAAAATGTTATGTCTCAATAAATCAGATTTTTTTTTCTTTTTTTGGAGTGTACCAGGGATTGAACTCAGGGGCACTCAACCACTAAGCTACATCTCCAGTCCTATTTTGTATTTTATTTAGAGACAGGTTCTCATTGAGTTGCTTAGTGCCTCACTTTTGCTGAGGCTGGCTTTGAACTTGTGATCCTCCTGCCTCAGCCTTCTGAGCAGCAGGGATTACATGTGTGCGCCACTGCGCCTGGCTCAGAATAATTTTTTTAAAAGTTAAAAAAAAAAATTACATCAGTATCTGAAACCATTCTGTATAAAACATTCAATTGCTTTTCACTATTGCTAATGCCAAGGAAGCATAGTGTTTAGTGGAGGTGTATGTGCTGCAAGCATCTTTAGACAACAAGGATTTTTACAACTTGATTTCCCTTCATTCTCAGTGCTACACAGTGCTGATATAAACTGCAAAGATAAATTCTTCCTGTCTTAAAAATGAGGGGTTTTCCCACAAAGAAACTCTAGACTAGATGTTTTTACTGGAGAGTTCTTGCAAACATTTAAGCACAAAATAATATAAATTCTATGCAAACTTTCAGAAAATAGAAGAGTCAAGGGAATATTTCCCAAGTCATTTTATGAGGCCAGCATTATTACTGTGATACCAAAATCAGACAATGGCATTGCAAGAAAAAAGAAAAAAAAACCAAACAAACAAAAAACCAGATCAATATCCCTAATGAACAGAAATGCAGAATCTTAATTTTTTTTGGCAAAATGAAAAAAAAAGTATGTGTGTATATAGATAGATATAGACATATATGTACTTATATGTCTCTATATAACTATATGTAACACATTATTATCAAGTAAAATTTATCCAAGGAATGCAAAATTGATTTTTGTTTGTATGTGGTGCTGAGGATCGAACCCGGGCCCCACGCATGCCAGGCGAGCGCGCTACCACTTGAGCCACATCCCCAGCCCTGCAAAATTGATTTTTAAAAAGTCAATATAATTCAATATATTAAAAAATTAAGAGTAGACAAGGCATGTGACAAAATTCTACATTCATTCATGAAGATAATTCAGGAAATTTAGAATAGAAGGTATAACTTGATATTCTTGACAGCACTTATGAAAACCTACAGTAGATCATATTTCATGAGAAAGACTTGAGTTTTTTTCTCCTTCATATTGGAAAAATTCCAAGATGTCTGTTCTCACTACTTCTACTGATGTTATACTGTATTCCCTAGGCAGTGCAAAAAGACAAGGAAAAAAGGTGTACAGACTGGAAAGAAAGAAGCAAAACTTTTTTTTTTTTTTTTTTTTTTTTAAGATGGCATAGTGACCTATGTAGAAATCCTAAGAAATCCAGTTAAAAAGGTACTAAAAATAGTCAGTTTAACAAGGTAACAGGGTACAAGGTGAATATAAAAAGTCAATTCTGTTTCTGTATAGTGCACAATAGATCAAAATTCTCAAAACTACCATTTACAATAGCATAAAATATGAAGCATTTAGGACTTAATATAAATGAATATGTGCAAGATAGAGAAATTAGAGAAAATTTAAATGAATGGTGAGAGATTCAAGGATTGGAAAATCATGGATTTAATAGATCAGAAAGCCTGGGGGTGGAGCCCAGAAGCCTGTGTTAACTAACAAGCCATCCACACAATTCTGACCTCTCTGCTCAAGTTTGAGAAACTCCGGTTTAGAAGACATGGATTGTTATTAAGATGTCAGTTCTGCTCAAATTGATCTATAAGTTCAACACGGTTCCAAAATAATTCCAACTGACAATTGTTAGAAGTTGAAAAACTGATTTGAAAATTTATATGGAAATGCAAAGGACCTAGAAGAGTCAATGTTGAAAAAGAACAAAGTTGGAGAATGTAACACTGATTTCAAAACTTAACAGAATCTACAGTAATCAGATAGTGATATATTAATGTAAGGACAGACATGTTGATCACTTTGACCAGAATCAAATATATCCACAGATTATTTGATCAGTTTATTTTCAACAAAGGTTTCAAGGTAATTGAATAGAGGAAAGGACAGTCTTTTCAACAAATGGTGC